ATAGATAGATAGATAGATAGATAGATAGATAGATAGATAGATAGATAACTTTATTCATCCCCGAAGGGAAATTAGGTTGTCATAGCAGTTCGGATTTAGATAACGATAATGTTTTTAAAAAAAATGGAGGTAGAAACCCTAAAAACTAAAAAAAGAAGATAAAAGAAGATTAGGTGCAGTGGTTGTACAGGGATTTAGTAGATTTTGTGCACTTCTGTGATTGAGGCTCTTACAGAGGCAGATGATATATAAAGTCTTAATGCAGAAGGTAGGAACGATTTCCTGTAACATCCCTTAGAGCAGCGAAGCTGAAGCTGCTCTTTAGCTTGTCCAGTGTTTTGTGGGGGGGTGGGGGGGGGGTTGTCCATGATTGACAGCAGTTTTGCACGCATCCTGTCCTCCACGACCTTCTCCAGGGTGACAAGCTTAGAACCAACAACAGGCTCTGCTGTTATGATGATTTTTTTCAGTCAGTTGGCGTCCTTTGCCTGATGCCTTGGAGAAACTTCCTCATGAAATGTTTGGCATCTCCAGTTTGCACCCTGTGCTCAGATGGACTTATAGGATCCTATTTACATATGTACTGGGAATGCAAGGATGTCAAGTTTTTCTGTGGCGAAGTTTGCTCTATTTTATCTAATGTGCTGGAGGTTGATGTACCATGTTCTCCTGTTGTGTTACTCCTGAATGATACCACCTCATTACAATTGACATGCTGGAAAAAACATATTCTCCTAACCGGCATCAGTGCTGCCAAAAAGATGTTGGCTTTACGTTGGAAACTTCCACATACAGTTACCAAGCCCCAATGGATTAACAAGTACATTGACATAATAAATATGGAACTTTCAGTGGCAAGAATGCATGGTGCTGGAGCCAGTACTATTCAAGCATGGCAAACAATGGCAGATAAGATCCAGGAATTCCTGTAATCAGCATTTCTGTTTACATATGTTATTGGAATATGGTCTCTTAGGTCCTGTAAGAGTTCTGTAGAGATGCAAGGTGGGGGGTGGGGGGTGGGGGGGGGGGGGGGGTTGTCGCCTCTTTTATTTATTTTATTTTATTTTTTGTTGTTCTTTTGTTTTGTTTTGTTTCTATGTGTTCCTTTCTGTTGTATTAGGTTGTAATATACCCTTTTACCTTTGTCGGACTAATACAGAAAATGTCTGGAAACAATTATTGGAAACTATTTGACAAGGTTTAAAGTAGCCTCTAAATAATTATTTTTATAACATAGTCAGAAAAATGTATCAGAAGAATTGTGGAGATGTGTGTGCTGTTGTTTCAAGAGTCCTGTTCTTCCGCAACTGACTGTCCCACAGAAAAAACTAAATTACCTCTCTGTCGTCCCTGTTTGCCTAATCTTAGCTTAATGGGATGACCCCAGCATTTTTTTTTTTTTTGTGAACAACTTTTTTTATTTTAAAAAGAAACAGATACATAAGTCCGATAAAGGTCAAAGGGTAAGATTTTTACTTCTGCGTTGAGGATATATAATGGTCTATAGTTCATATCGTTGAAAAAGGAACCAACTTCCACAGCTTTGTGAATCATGGCTAAAAGGAAATGTCCCTTCTCCTCCCAAAAGAGGAGGTAAAACTCTTGGGGAATCCCATCCCATCCTGGCGACTTGCCTTTTTTCATACCAGCCTGCAGCTTGTTCCTCAAGTGTGGGAAGCTCTAAATCTTGTAAAAAGGTTTCAAAGTTAGTTTAATCTGATGAGATTTCAGATTTGTAAAGATCTGTATAAAATTTTTGGAAAGCCGTATTATTTTCTTTGGGGGCAGTCAACAATTTTTGGTTTGAGCTGATAGCTGTGATGTTGGAATACTTTTCACATTTTTGCAAACTAAGAGAGAGTAGGTGACTCGGCCTAGAGCCGTCAAAATAATACTTCCTTCTAGTCCTATGAATTTGAAATTCAGCTCTTAAGTCTTAAAATGTTATTCAACTTCATTTTTGACCGCATCAATTTTCTTTTTATTGTCCTCTGTTGCACCGTCCCCTTGCTGAGCCAGTTTAAGCCTTTGTAGTTCGTTTTCAAGTGAATTAATTTTGCCCAGTATTGTTTGCTTGACATGAGATGCTAAGGAAATAGTTATGTTTCTCACAAACCCTTTAATTGCGCCCCATAAGACACGAGGGTCCTCTACTGAGTTAGCATTCTCCGAGATAAATGTTTTAAAATGATTTCTGAAATGGTCGCAATAATCGTTATTTTTAAGTAATGTCGTGTTGAAGCGCCATCTTGTGGCCTTAGTTGGACTCTTGTCAAGTGTGAGCTGCGCTGTAACTATACTGTCTCGAAGAAGGGTTTACGGCTCTGTATACGTCTGTGAGACTAAAATCGTCAATTAAACCTTGGAAGGCAGTTGTTGAAGGAAGAATATGTTTAGATGGTTCACTAGATCTATCAATTAAAAGATCAAGAACAGCTTTCATATCTGCACCAATGATAACTGAAAAGTCCTGCAGGTCATGTAAAGTCTTGCTGATTGTGCCCAAAAACTCTGGACTAAAATTATTTGAGGCATAAATACAAAGAAATGCAATTTTCTAACCGCATATGTTTGTTTTAATGTAGGCAAATCGACCATCTTCACTTTCATAGCTTCCAACTATAGTTAGGGATAAGCTACGTCTCAATACCACCAGGGCACCATGGCTCTTGGAGTTAAAAGTAGCCGCAGCTGAAGTATAGTAATGCCGATTTGATAAACGTTGTTTGTCAGAATATTTAAAATGTGACTCTTGGATAAAGGCCATGTCTATCTGTCTTTTAAGCCAATCAAGACACATTGAGCATTTAATGGGGGCATTTAAACTATTTATATTCCAGCTAGCAATGCATGACTTAGACATGATTACAGATAAGAGCGAGCCAATTTATTAGTTCCTGTGTATAAGTTGTAGTCAGAGATATATGGATTTCCAAACATTCACCCTGCTGTCGCCAAAAACATAAAAGTTTGAAAATAAGGAAAAATACGAACTTACATCTAACACTTTAATATCTAACAAGATGGCAAGGGCCACAAACACAACACCCACTATATGGACACCTGACCCGAGAGAGCTGGCGATCATACATCACAAGAGCCCGCCCCTCAACCCTCCTCAAAATATTCAGTATAACCAGTCAAATGTGGAAAAAAAAAAAAAAAAAAAAGCGAAACAGAAATTGGTCATATTACAAATTGCTAATTATCCATCAAAGTTAAGTTTGTTTGTTTTTTGTTTTATCTAGAATATTTTCTGATCAAAGGAAAAATATCAAACTCTGTTGCAAAACTGTAATTATTTATCCATATCACTTGTAGGAACTTAAATCACAAAGATAAGTATTATAATAAACCGTCAGAAAATGGTATCCGTCATTTTGTCAGAAAACACTAGAAATATAATAACTTCAGAAACTGAAGTGTGTTATTATAGTTACGTGGTATAATACTTTACTTAACTAGAGACTCCGTGTTATTTTACAATACCAGTACACAATAGAAGAATTCATCAGTCCTCCGTCTGGGTATGAGCACCAAGGAAGTCTTCAGCCTCTGCCTGTGTCTCAAAGAAGTGACTTCTGATCCGCGGGATAGCTTAAGCTTGGCCGGGTAAATCAAAAACGGAATGAAGCCGAGTTTCCTCACTGTCTCCATCGCTTGTGAAAATGAACGGCGTAGTTTAATGGTGTAGTTTCTGTAGTCTGCTGCAAAGCGGATCTCTTTGCCGTTGACCTCAATCCGAGAACCTCTGGCTGCCTTCAGGATGCGATCCCGGTCGGTGTAGCGTAGCATTTTGCAGATCAGGATTGTGCTCTGGATTGTGCTCTGGATATACGATGAGCCCGCATTACCTCCATCTTCCTAGAGCGGGGAGCCATTTAGAGAGCAAGGAAGAGACGAATTCCGCTGCATCTCTGATTTCAATCTTTTCAGGTTTATTATGCAAACATTATCCCTACGGGAACTGTCCTCTAACTCTGCCAAACGTGCTTCAAGCTTGCGGCATGTTGTTTGGAGAGACTGCTCAGATTTAGCCAGCTGGTTGGAGACCCCGTTGTGGTCTGATTTCAGCTTCTTAATGTCGTTTGAGTTCCTCATTACCTCTGTTTTTATGTTGTCCAGCTGTTTCGCGAACAGGTCCGCTGCTCTTTCAGTGCGACAGTTAGCATGGAGGATTCGGCTAGCTTAAATGACTCAAGCTTTTCGGCGTCTCTCAGCGGTTCAAGCCCGGTTTTGCTTCTCAGCCCATCAGCCATCGCATACAATTAAGTCACGGAGGTCATGGGCAAGGAGTTGTTAAAATACGATACAAAATAGGTGGATAATTCGTAAAAGTCAGGAGGGAGAGAGCAGAGTCATCGCGTTACGCCGCCATTCTGTCTGCAGGTCACGTGCACTCTCGGTTGACCCCAGCATTTAAAACTTAATACATTTTTTTCTCCTTCTTTTGTGTGCTGATTCCTAGTATATTCAATTCAAGTTTATTTATATAGCGCCAAATCACAACAACAGTTATGTCACAGCGCTTTCCAAACAGCAGGTCAGACCTTATTCTGAGTTATTTACAGAAACCCAACAATTCCCACCAAGAGATAGCACTAGGCGACACAGGCAAGAAAAAACTTCCTTTTAAGAGGCCGAAACCTTGAGCAGAACCATGACTCAGTGTGAGCAGCCATCTGCCTTGGCCGGTTGGGGGTGAGAGACAGAGAGGGCAAGAGAGAGAGGGAGAGAAGGACAGACGGAGCAGAGGGAGGCAGCCTACACAGTAACACATAGATTGGATGAAAAATGGTAAAGATTTTGACAGTAATGGTAATGATAGCAGTAATAATAGCAATAAGACTATGAACAGTGACTGTAATTGTAGCAGAGCAGGAACAAGGGGGCAGCAGAAGACTCCCAATCACAGATCCAGACTCTACAGCAGGAAGTGATAGGAGGAGACAGCAGAGGGACGAGAAAGCACACGACTACGGGAAAGGGAAAAAGTCCAGTTAGTAACTTGCATTAAGGGAATGAGGTTGCACTGTGAGGGAGAGAGAGAGATGACAGGGGAGCTCGGTGCATCATGGGAAATCCCCCGGCAGACTAGGCCTATGGCAGCATAACTAAGGGTGGACTCACCCTAACCATAAGCACCTTATCATAAAGGGAAGTCTTAAGCCTACTCTTAAATGTAGAGACTGTGCCTACCTCCCGGACCCAAACTGGAACCTGGTTCCACAGGAGAGGACTCTAAAAGCTTTACGCTCTGGCTCCTATTCTACTTTTGAAGACTCTAGGAACCACAAGTAACCCTGCATTTGGGGAGTGCAGTGCTCTGGTAGGGCAGTAAGGTACAATGAGCTTTTTAAGATAAAATGGTGCCTAACCATGAAGAGCTTTATATGTAAGAGGAGTGATTTTAAATTCTATTCTGGATTTTACAGGAAGCTAATGCAGACAGGAGAAATTTCTCCAAGACAGGAGAAATATGATTTATTTGACTGATTACTGTCAGAACAGGTGTGGCAGCATTCTGGATTAGCTGAAGAGTCTTAATGGACTTTTTCGAAGAGCCTGATAATAAGGAATTGCAGTAATCCATCCTAGAATGCGTGGACTAGTTTTTCTGCATCATTTTTACACAGGATGCTCCTCATTTTTGCAATATTATGTAGGTGAAAGAAGGCAGTTCTTGCAATTTGCTTAATGTGAGAGTTAAATGACCTGTCCTGATCAAAGATAACTCCAAGATTTCTCACAGTGGTGCTGGAGGCCAGGGCGATGCCATCCAGGGAAACTATATCTCTAGATAGTGCGTCACTGAGGTGCTTAGGCCCTAGAAGAGTAACTTCCATTTTATCTGAGTTTAACATTAGAAAATTGCAGGTCATCCAGGTTCTAATATCCTAAAGACAGATTTGAAGCTTAGCTAACTGATGAGTTTCATCTGGCTTGATCGATAGACATAACTGAGTATCATCTGCATACCACTGAAACTTGACAGAGAGTTTCCTGATAATGTTTACCTAAAGGAAGCATAACGTAAAGAGCATTGGTCCAAGCACAGATCCTTGTAGAACTGCATAGCTAACTTTGGCATGTATGGAGGACTGATCGTTAACATGCCCAAAGTGAAACGGATCTGATAAATAGGACCTAAACCAGCTTAGAGGAGCTCCTTTAATGCCAATGAAATATTCCAGTCTCTGTAATAGGATCTGATGGTCAATGGTGTCAAAAGCAGATCTAAGATCTAGTAAAACCTATACGGAGACAAGTCCTTTGTCTAATGCCGTCAGGAGGTCATAAGTAATTTTCACCAGTGCTGTCTCTGTGCTATGATGAGCTCTGAATCCATCCATCCATCCATCCATCCATCCATCCATCCATCCATCCATCCAT